CACACATTGAAGGCTTCATTTCTACATGCTGACCCACACAGAATGCATATCGCTGCTGTTGGAACAAAACCTTGTATCTCCGAAAAAGTAACTTTACAGGTTGAGGGAAAACATTCTTAACTTTTAATGGAAACAAATGGATAAAAAAAAAATCCAAGTAATTCTGGACCATCTCCGTTGGTCCGTTCATCATCAATTTTGACACATCATAAAAGGCAACTGGCCTTTCCAACTTATGTCAAAACATGACTTTTGAACTGTGCACTGATAACAAGCTGAGTGGTCTTTAGCCTGGAGGACACAGTGTCCATGATTTCCAAAAAGAAAATGGCAAAAATGGAGACACAAGGTTTTGTCCCAACAGCAGCAATACATCAACATATATTTGTGCAAACAAGGACAGAAAAATCTGTTCAAATAACTTTTCATAAGAGCAGTGCTTTGACGCTGTGTGTCCCTGCTCAGCCTTACAGTGCATGAAAATGTGTTTGAAGTTCTGATGTATGCAGCTATGCGTATCTCATTCATTTTATTTTACACAAAAATGAATGATGCCTTGTGCTATTTTTGATATTTGCTTAAATGAGAAATTAGATTTCTGTTTACACAAGAAAAAAGTCTTTGCAATGCACAGAGTCGAGGATGCACATTAGTCTAGTCAGAGGACAGATTAATTTAATAACAATTTATAGCATTTCATATCATCATTGTGATATCCAACAGCTTTATATGTGCACGAGCCAATGGGTGTTACATTTCAAGAGAACAGCGAACGAAACAAAAGTAATAACTCCGCAGGGTTAATGAGGTCACTGGGTTGTGAACCACATGACATCAATTGCTTCAAGAAAGTGATACGAGTGTGTAACTGATTTTGGACCTGGAGTAAATACGCCTCACAAGACACAAGCAAAATGTTTCCTATTTGAATTTGTGTGATGAAGCCTAATTTGACTCCATCACACACGGAATAACTGACCACATGGCTGACTGGAACACAGACTGCAGGATATTTATTATTATTTCTCACTTGGAGATGATTGAAAAAAGCCGAGAAAGTCTGGTGACAGTGCAGACTCTAAACTTTTAAAAATGGATATACAGCAATTGGAATGAAATTCTTTATACATAGTGAAGAAATTGGAGCTACTTCTTTATGTATGTAAGTTGTTATATTAACACAGCTATTATTATTATAACTATTATTATTATTATTACTATTGCTGTTGTTGTTGTTATTAATTTTGTAACTCACCATGTAATTATATATGTAATTACACCTGAACAGTTTAGCCATATGGTAGTAATAACATCCAATTTATAATTAATATGATTAGAGCTGAGAAGTATGTAGATTCTCTTAGCCTGGTATGAGCAGAGGATTATACCCCACTGAACAAGAAAAACAATACGAAGTTATACAACAGTTCGTTCCAGTGACACGTTGGTTATTTTGGACAAATTAACACACCACACCCAAGTATTCAGCATTCCTGGTACTGTACTTTCTGTCTGTGCTGATCAGATAGCAAAACACATCAGAGACACCCTGCGACTCCTTTTATTCCCCTTCTAATGTAGAGACTTTCCAACAACTTTAAGGAGTACAAGACTGCACTCCTGTTCACTTCTGACTGCACTGTAAGGCAACAATCATCACGTTTATAGCAAACGACACAAACAACAGTAAGAAAGAACAGAAAGAAGAGACATGGCTGACAAATCTGTGGCACCCAAACAACCTGGCCCCGAATGGGACCGATATAAAAGAACGCATTGTTGACTTCGGGAGGCCCAGTGGGAGCAGCTCACCAATCAGTGTAGAGGGAGCAACAGTGGAAAGTGGTAGCAGCATCAGACTCCCAGGGCTGCAGGGCTCTGATAATTGGTCCTGGGACCCAGAACAGCCGAGACGTTCTAAAAAGTTGTTCATGTCCCATAGTGTCAGCAGGCAACAGTGCAGGAGCGAACAGACTGAGCTGCCACCGCTGTGCAGCTCAGCACTCTCGAAGGAGACTGCAAACAGTAGAGGGCCATGTGCATCGTTCAGTCTCAAAAAACTGGCCAGTTGCATGTGCCACCGAAACTCAAACCACAGTCCTGATGACAGCTCTAGACTGCAGAGCCATGAAGATGATCTAACAGACCGAAAGCTTTGCTATTCTTTGGTTCTTTAATTGATTCAGTGTGTACATTTCCACATGAATATAATACACTGCTGCAACAGAGAGACTGCCAACATAAATTAAAAGACAAAAGTGTGTTGATGCAATGTATGTTATTTATGTTGAAATTCTGTACATCATTTTCAACGTCCTAAGCCAATTTAGACTGCTGGATATTTAGATTTTAAAAGGCACTTCAGGTTTTCATCACTACCAAATACATTTAACATATACCAAATGACCTTTTCTTTCAGTGGGATTTTTCTCCCTTCTGCTGTTATTTTATGTTTTAACTTGTCCTACTATGTTATTTTTCATTTTTCATGTTTTTGTTTTCTCTCAGTTTCTTTTTGGTTTTTTTGCACGACTTATTTCGTTGATTTGTTATTGCACTATTTTGTAACGTATGCTATGTCTACTGGACCCCAGGAAGAATAGTGGCTATCGTGATAGTGGCTAATGGGGATCCTAAAAATAAACAAAATGAACAAATAAACAATCAAATCACTATTTTCAGCACAACATGCAACATTCTCAGTAATCTACCTTTGACAGATAGCTTTACTATTTTTTGTATATTTATTGTACTAGTGCTTGATTTTTTGGTGTGTTGGTTCCTTTTAGTCCATTTACTAAGCACAGTGTCAACTTTTTTTGTTTTGCTAATAGTGCTGGATCAGAGAGCAGTGGGTTTGCTCATGGGTGCACCACTTAGAGGCTAATGTGTTGACTTTTATTGCATTATATTATAGACTGCATATTGCAATATTGCACTTGTTTTATGCATGTACCTGAGGGAGTAGCAACTCAAACTAGTCACAAATGCCCCATAAAAATGTGACAAGTGCCTTAAAATCCCAGGCTTATTATATACTAAGGCTTATTATTCAGTAACTACTGGGACTTCAATGCAAACTAGCTGAGCTACTCTTAAGTTACAGAATTGTGTAATAAAACTTTGGACCCGCTGGTGAACCCTGGCCATTTAAGGGGTTAGGTGAAACTGAAAGCCTTCTGAAAGTGCAACTCAGCTTGACACTGCCTGATTCGGCAGGATTTAGGACAATGAAAAAAATCATGCACTTGCTTCAAATGTGTTCAACATTTCCGCAAGAGTGAAATATTACATCAGCACATTTTTTCACTTGACGAGTGAATTCAGCTACTTTATGTAGTACCCATTCAATAATCTCCATAGAAAAGCACTGACAACAGAATGAGACAAGGCTAAGGTCGCCATGACCAAAGCCAAGCATGGGTTAGAGGGGTATAAAGTCATCCAAGCATTGTGCTGTGGAGCAGCAGAACTGCATTCTCTAGAGAGATGGAGCTCCATCCAATATTTTTTGAATGAGTTGGAGTGATCCAGAACTGATCATCCAACATCAGTAGCTGACCTCACTAATGTTCTTGTGGCAGAATGCAATCAAATCCTCACAGCAATGTTATAACATCTAGTGTACAGCCTTCCCAGAGGAATAGAGGCTGTTACTGCAGCAAAGAGGGACAAACTCCCCATTACTACCCTTGCTTTCAGAAGAAACATCGGCTGAGTAGGTGTCTACAAACTTTTGGACATATAGCGGATTCAGCTGAGCTTGATATGGTTTCTTCTGCCTTCCCAGAAGAGGCTGTTACTGCAGCAAAGGCCTATCAACACCCTTAATTTCAGACGAAATGCCTGATGACCAAGGCTCAACCTCAAATGGCTCCCTACACCCTACATAACACCATACAGGTCGTAAAATAATGGCTTTTACACGCAAATAGTGCACTGTTTGTCCAATAAAAAGCCATTTCGTTTCAGCCATAAGCTGCACAAATGATTCCCTGGCTAACATTCAGTGCTCTATTTGGATGAAAAGCCATAGTTTAATCACCATTTCTGGAGTAGACAGCAGTGTGAGATTCAGCCCAGGTGTCTACAAACCTCTGGACAGACACTGTTCAGCCACCTCCTTGTTTTTACACTCAACGTCCATTTTATCAACTCCACTCACCATATAAAGACACTTTGTAGTTCTACAATTACAGAATGCAATCCATCTGTTTCTCTGCATACTTTCTTACCTCCTCTCACGCTGTTCTTCAGTGGTCAGGACCCACACAGGACCACCACAGAGCAGGTATTATTTAGGTGGAGAAACATTCTCAGCACTGCAGTAACACTGACGTGGTGGTGGTGTGTTAGTGTGTGTTGTGCTGGTCTGAGTGGATCAGACACAGCAGTGCTGCTGGAGTTTTTAAGCACCTGAGTGTCACTGCTGGACTGAGAATAGTCCACCAACCACAAATATCCAGCCAACAGCGTCCTGCGGGCAGCGTCCTGTGACCACTGATGAAGGACTAGAGGATGACCAACACAAACTGTGCAGCTGCAGATGAGCTGTCGTCTCTGACCATCTACAAGTTGGACCAACAAGGCAAGTGTGCCTAATAGAGTGGACAGTGAGTGGACACAGTGTTTAAAAACTCCAGCAGCACTGCTGTGTCTCAAATAATACCTGCACTACGGTGGTCCTGCGGGGGTCCTGACCACTGAAGAACAGGGTAAAAGGGGGCTAACAAAGTATGCAGATAAACAGATGGACTACAGTCTGTAATTGTAGAACTACAAAGCGCACCAGTGAGTGTTTTAATGTTATGGCTGACCGGTGTACAGTTTATTTGGAAGTGATGTACAGATGTGAACTGGGTAAATTCAGTGCACCGGTCATTTTAGTGTCCTGTAAAAAAAAAAGTGATGTTTTTTTACTCAAAGCCAGCGGGCTTCACTAGATGTGGTCAGTAAAAATAAAGTTTTGCAAGCACGCACGTGACGAATCATCATCATACCTCCTTCAGCTCCTTCTCTATCTGCACCGCGCGCTGCACTATGGGTCCACGCACGGCGTACTCCACCTTCTTCACGTTGGCGTTCATGGTGTCCACGGTGAGCACTTTCCCCCTGCGGGGGGACGCGTCGTTCCCGGCCATCTTTCTCCGGAGCAGCGTGCTGGAGGGGCTGCAGAGGGTCCTGCAGGGATAGAGAGGAGTGAGTTTGCCTCCTGCCAGAGCCTGCACGCCTCTACACGGCAACATCTGTGCGCGTCAGTCTGCCAGACTCGGAAAGATTCAGATACAGTTTAAATGTGCTAACACTGAGGCTGCTGGTCAGCGCGAGCGAGCGTGGAGCGCGTGTGAACGTGCAGCTGGGCAGCTGGACGTTATGAACTGTTTGCACAAAACTACCCACGAGCTCGATTTTAGACCTTTGCACCGTGCAAGATGAAAGCGCACGCGATTTCACAAGGTGCACTGAGATTAGATCTGGAATCGCGCGTGCACTCTCGCTCTCAGGGTCGAGTGGGCTCGTGCACACGGTGCCTCGGCAACTACAGTAACTTTTTCCTCGCTTTATATACGCGAGGTTTTATTAGGTACCCCCCCCCTCCCCAAAACTCCCACCACCGACCCCCGTTGTTTTTACGTACCAGAAGTGCTTGCAGATGTCTTTCGGGTTTCCGAGGCGTCGGACAGCAGCGGAGAGCCGGACCGAGACCGTGTGGAGCTTCCCCGGTGTGGAGCGCACCCCTCCCTCCCCTCCCCGCGCGCTCACTCCTCTGCGAAGGATCTGGGAGGAGACTTCAGCCTCCAAACAGAAAGAGTGAAGTAAGTCCGGCCCCGCCCATATTGACAGAGACTCACAGCCCTGCACGCGGGAGAAAACAGCGCCAGGGCTTTAGGGCCTTCAGAGGTAAAGAGTCAGTCATGCAGGAGTCAGAGTGACCGAAGAACTAACTAATCAAATGACCAACTGACTAGCTAGGCAACTAACTAACCAGCCATCTAAGTGACTGATAGGGCTGGGCGATATGACAATATATATCGTTATTGGGAGAAATGATGTCATAATACGATACAATATGCTTTCTCTGTATATCCTGTATATCCTCAGTACACTCACAACCTGCCTGTTTCATTACGAAGACAGCAAGACGAGCCCTGTTTAACTGGATTTAGTGCAACACAGTGCGCCAAATATTGAATAAAGTCATTGTGTTTTTAATAATATTTTTAAAATGTAGCACTACTGGGTCTTTTTTCTCTGTTCCACCTGATCAGATGTCAGAAAAAATAAATATCGTGACGTATCGTGTATGAAAAATTCTCATGATATTATATTTTTGCCATATCGCCCACCTCTACTAACTAATTAACTAACTAAGTGAATATATCTGACATCATGATTCATTATTTATACATTTTACTCTTTTATTTCGTTTATTTATTTCATCATTTTTATTAGATACATCTTTTCCTATATTAGAACATTTATTAAATAAATGACGTACGTAATATATAATGAATGGATTAATAAAATAAATTATTAACAATCAGCAATGAACAATGAAAAATAAATTAATATAAATAAATTTATGACTTATCTAACTATATAAAAAGTATACACATTATTATAAATAGAAAGTAACAAAACCTCATAATAATCTTAAATAATGGGTATTATATATGAATATTTTTTTTTATTTAATTTCCAGTCAAAACACCCATTAAGTGCAAGGCCTTCATTTTTCAGGAGATATTTGTGAGGAGATTAGATGAAATAATATACTTGCATAAGAAAGGAGAAACCTCAGCATTACTGTGTGTGTTTGGGATTATTTGGATTGTGAGAAGCAGAAAATGTAACCAACTTCTAAGACTGAACTTTGGAGGTGTGGAAAAACATCCCTGCAGAATTCTAAGAAAAACTGAAAGCGCGTCCCCTTAAAATAATGGAAGCTGTAAGAAAGGCAAAGGATGGACACTCAATACTGTAAAAAATGGTTGATGTATTTAGTTGTTAAAGCTTTTGTATATTTTTTACGTAATGGTCATTTTGACTGGAAATTACATAAATTAAAGGCCTCTGATTTTTTCTGCAGTACTTTGTTTATTGCTTGATCTGGTTTTATTGATTATTTTTCAAGGGTTTATTGTTTCTCATCATTATACTTTTCTTGTATCCTAACTATTTTCATTTGGTGTCTTATCTGTGTTATGAAATGCTCTGTTTTTGATTCAGCTAAACTGAATATGAGAATTCTTACTCTATATATTTACAAGTCTAAATAATGATTATATTAATTAATTCATTCATTCATCCAGGAAGTGGGCATTTTGTTGCTGGCTATTAACACTCACCTAGACGGGCTGTAGTCATGCAAGAAATGTTGTGGAGCAACTTTTGGAGAATAGCTCAGTTTAGAGACACACACGTCTTTAAAAAATGACCAGATTTATATAGAGATTTATATAGAGCAGATAGAAACAGAGAAAAAGTGCGGTGAGTGTGATAAATCTGAAGCGGACATATAGGTGGGTGCTGCAGAGACCATGCATGCGACAGCAGAGACATTTTGAACCCCAGGCCTCGGTTAAATAAAAGCCAGAGAAACTGAACGGAAACGGTAGAAAGGATCAACGTGCAGTTCTTCAGGTTTAGTAGCATGAAGGAAACACCAGCTTCAATCCTGCCCTCAGTCAAACTTTACACACAGCCAGATGTTATTTGAATGACTGAAACTGGTGCAGTTTCAAGACAGGAAACACTGGGCCTCTGAAGAGCAAGGGCAGACATTACATATATAAGGGCACTGCTGTGCCTTTAGGATGATGGCAAAGAAGTCATGCCTCATACGAACCACATTTTGTAATTTTGAAGACCGAGGTGGGTAGAAGAGTCTAAAAATACTCAAGTAAAAGTGTTATTTCAGTGAAATAATGACTTAGAAGTTACCAAAACAACTCAAGTAGGAGTAAAAATAGATTAAAAAGTACATCCAGCATCTATTAGTGTAGAAAATGAAGTGTTGTAGGTGCTATTCTTCTCTTTTAAGGGATCAATTTGGTCTAAAATAAAATGCTAAAGCTCTAAAGTGAGCAGTGTGAATAAAAATGGTGCAACAGCTGAGCCAGTGCAACACAAGGAAATCAAACCGGGGCTGTACAATGTGATGATATTGTAGTGTGTTCAATGCGTGTGCATGCGTTCTCTAGCCTTTGTTGCACTGGGCATTTGGACTCTTATTGTAGAAGGCGGGACTAGGCACAACCAGGGGAAGTGTGTGTGAGAATGCCTGAGCAGAGAACTTGTGGCGAGGAGAATTACCACTCTGTAATGTCTTCCGGGTTTCTCAGACGCTCCTGAGTCCAAAATGAATGGGTTAAGATGGAGTACTTGAGAAAAAATCATAGTTTATAAATGTTTAAATATTTTTAAGATTAAAGAATGGATTCATTTCCTAAACACAGAACAGCATAAAACATTTTAACACTGCTGCTATGTTTTAAAGAGCTTTTGAACTCGAGCTATAGGAGTTTAAAATGAAGCCTCATATACATTCATAACGTCAGTGAGCACAAACAGCCAACAAGCTGCTCGGCTCGCCAACCAATCAGCACTCAGTAGCAGTAATGCTAGCATTGTAATGCCCGAAACTCATTTGCTGTTGAAAAAAGGAAACATACAGGTGTGTTTTCTTTGCTGTTTTAGTGGAAAACATCCTTCTACTTTCTAAAATGAAAGGAAAGTTCTGGGCAAGTGGTTAGAAAGTATTTTAACTTTTCATTTTTAGCTGTTTAATTCTAGTGGCCGATCTTTTGTGGCCAATGGCCCAGTCCTAATGGACGACAATTACACTGACCTAATGGACTACAATTACCGTAAACATTACAACTTAACCTGCCTCACAGCTTGTATTATGCTGAGCAAATGACTTCTGGGAAATTGCAGACGAAATCAAAGTACTCAAAATGAAATATATGCTGGAAATAACTACAGTGTTTGGTGGCCGTGTGTAAAAAATGACCTGCCAGAAGGAGGAAATCCCTTTGGGAGAGGAAGGAGGAGAAAATGGATCTGAAGTTCTCAGAATAAAAACCTAACATACGTGACACACATCATGTCTGTCATGGGAGATTGCAGCCAACCAGGGTGATGTTCTGATGTCATGAGGGTGTGCTGTAGCTTGTGCAGCAGATGGTGAGAAACTGCAGTGCCTGACTTCAAACACTGCAGCTGCTTTGCTCCTGTGATGTGACATGGTGACGTTCTGCAGGGCCGGTGAAAGTTGACAAAATGTCTAACCAGCATGCATCATGTCAAGTCAGCGCTGCACAGGGCCACATTAAATCAAACACAGCCAATATTATCGCACATGTCAGGAGAAATTAGTCCTGTGAAGATGAAAGTGCTCATGGAGATTGTAGGTTAGGCAGGTTAAGTTGTAGTGTTCATGGTAACTGTAGTCCATTAAGTCAGTGTAATTGTAGTCCATTAGGACTGGGCCATTGGCCACAAGTCGACCACAAAGCACCCTTTGGTGGTCCTTGGGCCGATGCTAAAGAGGATCAGTGGTCCTCAGCGGGGCGGTGATGGCACTTTGTCATAATATTTGTGAAAAAATAATGGACTTAACAATAAAAACGACATTTTTCAAATGGTAAACAATATTAACCCCTTAAAATCCCAGGCTTATTACATACTAAGGCTTATTATTCAACAACTACAGGGACTTCAGTGCAAACTGGTTGAGCTATTCTTAGGTTATAGAAGTGTGCAATAAAACTTTGGGCCTGCCTGTGAGCCCCGGCCTGTTAAGGGGTTAATACAAGTCATGCAAAAATGGTGCACAAAAATTTTTATACATTTTAAATAAATTTGCTTCTAGAAACAAAATATATGCCCTTCAACATCTCAGTTGTTCACTTGCAAGTGACTAGAGTAAAAATTGTGTTGTAGGAAAAATTCCACTTAATTTGCCAACTTTCTACTAATATTTTATGTTCGCTCATACATATTGCATGTTTTTGTGGGGTAGGCATTTAAAATATTGCAGTGTTGAAAATTGAGTTTTGTTTCATGCTTCATGCTTTAATGAATAGGTGGGCCTTGAGGTGGAAAAGGTTGAGAACCCCTGCACTAGGTAATATAAAGACTGGGCTAGAGGAAAAGTCCAGATGTTTGTAAACAAAGAGCCTCGCGATGTACAAAATGGCCAGAAGTTGTTTAGTTTGGGGCTGTAATGTCATGTTTAAAGCCAGCAATGATTTGGCATTTTATAGCTCGCCGGCTCAAAAATATTAGTCCTTCCTGAGCTGAGGCTCCTCTGCTGTTCCTACTTTACTATCTTTAGTTGATGTACTATGTTTTGCCTTTTCATATTACTACTGTTACTACTACTAATAGTAATAATGATAATAATGAATAAAATGCTGATTAAATAAAAAAATCCCACATTAATTCATCAAAAGGTGATTAATCCATTAACTTTACTCATAGGGGAATTCCATCAATATTTCACAGTTTCTACATAACTACTTGCTTAAGATGTAAACAGTCATTCAGAGTGGTTTTATGTGAAATGCTCTGTTCTAGAGAAACTTGCTGACTCGTTGCTGACTGAGTTGTGGTGAAAGACGTCTGGAGAGTTTAATGTCTCTAAAAGCTTCCTCACTGAGGGCGTTTCATGCGACAGTTACTGCATGAAATATAACATTCTTTTACAATAGTTTCCAGAATGTTTTGGCCTAAAACATAGAAAAGTACTATTTTAACATCATGAACATTACATAGAAAACATTGTGACTCCTGGTTCCTATCAACACCACTGTAAAGAAATCCGAGTCTGTAAGTTTCTCAACAATAAAGTATTTCATAGCAAACCACTTTGAATGGCTTTGTTTACATCTTAATGATTTAATTATGCAAAATGTTTGAAAAGTTGAAGAAATTCCTCTTTAGGTCCACCAAAATATAAGTAAGTAAATGTAAATAAGTTAATACTCACTTCTGCGTCCAGATGTTATCAGACATCAAAAACAGAATGGAGAAGTTATGTCAGTTTCTTATTCCTGATATTTGCACACATTTACTCTGCAAGTGACAGCTTCAAAGCTCAGACGTCACATGGCTCAACATATTTCCACAAACAGGATCTTTTCTTTATTGCTTAATTTAAATAATTTAGTAATCAAGTAATCTGCTGATCATTTTAGAAATGAATCAATTAGTCAAGTAATCAGGCCAAAGAATGAAAAATGAACTGAATGATAAGAAACCACGCAGATTCCAAAACACCTTATTGGAAAAAAGATAAACTAGAAAACCTTAAAAAGACATTAAAAAAGTAATTATATTCAAAAACTTATCTGTATATTTTGGAGGGGGACAGAGTGCCTTCAACGAGACAGTGGTTTGCAGAGCTAACAAATACTTTACATCTAAAGAGAATCAGGATTAATGCTAAAGGATAAACTTAGTCGTTTTGCAAAGATCTGGGACCCTTTGATTTCTTATCTTCAAAGAGATGGTGGTTAAGCTTAACACTCCATTCACACGATTAGTTAGTGATAGGGTGGTGCTCGGGGGAGGGCTGAGTCAATTCTCTCATTGTCGTGTTTTCAGTGTTTAAGTATTATATTGATATTTTTCCAATGTTTAAAAAAGTTTAAAATGGAAGTATTGGACCTCTTTACAATGTGGATTCAATAAGATGCTCCCTAACAAAAACATTTAAATCAAAAAGTATTTAAATGACTGATCGCTGATACGTCAAAAGGGTCAGTTAGGTTTTTTTTAATTCAAGAAATTAAGTTTAATCGAGTGATCATACTTTTGTTTTCATGCTCTTAATTATTATTGTTCTTTTTTGTCACAGCTTTTATTTGTTGCATCTTATTGTTTGCCGATTTTAATCGAATCACACTGGAAAGCAGTTTGAGTTGCAATTTAGATGTATGAAAAGTGCTATATAAATAAAGTTTATTAATATTATTATATAGTGAAAACAAATAAAACAGAATACAAATGTGCCATAACTTTTGCACAGGGCACATTTAATGTTTTATTGTTTTCCCGATACATTAAAATAATTAAAATAAATAGTATCTGGGCATTAAAATGTGTGGACGTGTGAAGATGTGTTGACTTATTTTCACTTAGAAAATCAACAAAATATGTCATTTGACCAAAAACTTGTGCATACAGCTGTATATGTTTATTAAGGAGTGGTGGGTGAACTAACACACTGACAGACATAAAAATCACATTTTTTAATTTGCATTTATTGTAATGTGTAATTTAACTACTAAATGATTACGGTCCAGATTAACAGCTTTATGTATCCTTTTCACAGAAGACATTTGCACTGTACTGTACTTCTAATGTACTTAATTAAAATGAGCTTGTGACACTCCCACATTGGACTCCTGATCCAGTATGAATGGGATTTGGTTAATGGATAACAAATCAGTGTCATTAAAGTTGTAGTGCAGAGTATAATGAATAGGTTATACTGAAAAGGTCAGTCCAATGATTAACTAGCCACACTTCCTCATAGAATAGAGGCAACCTTGCACATGTCACGCATGCCAAAGTGGTTTATTTCATTACAAATGTACTCTAATGCATACACTCTTAAAAAGGATGGTTCTACAAGGCGTTCTTTAGTAAATAAAAAGGTTTTATATAGAGCCATGAACACTCAAAGAACACTTTGGATGATTAAAGGGTTCTTTTGCATCGTTAAATGATTCTTCATATTGATGTAAAATGTGCTGTAGTTGATTCTACATAGATCTTTTTTTTTGAAAAGGGTTCTATATAGCACCAAAAAGGGTTCTTCTATTGTTAAAATGTCAGCCTGTAACAATAGAACACTTTTTCACTGCTATAAAGAACACTTTTCAAAAAGGTTCTATATAGAACCATATAAAACACATTTTCTATCAATGTGAATAACCCTTTCACGATGCAAAGGATTCTTTGAGTGTTCATGGTTCTATTTAGCACCATTTTATTTACTAAAGAACCCTTGAAGAACCATCAAAGGTGTAGTGTATGGCCATACTATTCAACCCTTATGTTTTTTTTTGATGAACCCTGGAATTCGACACAATATTGTACCATGTTAGATCACAATGTCATTGGCCAGCAAGTGTTACTGCTGGTGATTTATTTATTAATTACTTATTATTGATAAACTGGACACTTTTTCCATGAATACAGAGTAATTTGCTCATAGAAAGTTCTCTGAAGTGCTCTGAAGGACCCTAAAGAGAAAGCTGACAAATTTGAAAGTGACCAAAACAATCTCATCAATAATGATCCATATAACTTTCTCCATTCAATCATGATTAAAGGACGACCTGATTTTCACAAAAAATGATGACTTAGCAATAAAATGTAATCACTTACAGTAACCTTTACATAAAGATATGTAGGACAGGCACATTTCATAGACTTTGTCAATAACAATTCATGCTAACCAATACAAGTACAGAAGATAAACTACAGCGTACATTACGGCTGCACCATATGGACAAAATACCAGTACTGTGCTCATATTGCTTCATATTGCTATTGTGATATGCATCAATAATGTGACAAGGATTGTGTTCATTTTACCAAAAAATGATTTACCTTTGTTGGATTACACACATATCTTGACTGACTGACTCAAACAGTGACGACAATGATGGTTTTCACTACAGTGGCGATTTATGTATAAAAATATAATCAGTTACAATGTAGTAGCAGATACAACACATACACACACACACTCAAACACACTTACACCCATTAGCCAAAACACTGTCACCCCTCACATATTCCTCGATGGTAGCATCCTCTTTCGGAAGGACAACGCACCCACTGCACTCATGGGCCACCAGCTGTTCTTAGGAAACAAATTTCTTCTTAAAACCCACTTATGCAGTTTTCACAAAGATTCTGTCACCAGTGTTTTCTTATTAGGGATTAGCTCTTAGGTAAGAACAGAATCTACACACACTCAAGAGCACAACGGTGCAAACAATTCTGAACACGTCATGAACCTGACGTAGACTTTTTCCTAAGACTTTCTCAAGAACAAATTTGGCCTCCACATTCCTCAGTACTCAATCTGATCAAGCATCTGTGGGATGAGCTGGATCAACAAGTCCGATCCGTGGTGGGTCCGCCTCCCAACTTACGCGAGTTAAAGACGTTGCTGCTAACGTCTTGGTGCCAGATACCACAGGGAACCTTCAGAGGTCCAAGCCTCAGCAGGTCAGAGCTGTTTAGACAGGTGGTCATAATGTTTTGACTTAGTGATGTACACATTTCCAAATCTTTTCTGGGACAAACTGCAAAGACACTTTTGCATGATAGATGCAGAATATTTCAAAGGCCATACAGTGAGTCCTACAGTACACCATCTGCACTTCTATTCAGTAGATTTAAGGCAGAAAACGCTGAATCATTTAAGTGCTAGGAGCAGCTGTTAAGCATTTCCAGTGATCAACCTCTACTCAGATATTTAGAGAAAACTGCACCAATTTTTTTCAAAAAGTTCTGTGTAATTAAATGGTTAAGATGTGAACAAAGTAATTCAGAGTGGTTTTATGTGAAATTCTCCATTTCTAGAGAAACTTACTGAGTCAGAACTGTTCACAGTGGTGGGGATAGGAACCAGACGTCTGAGAGGTTTAATGCCTCTAAAGTCTCCCTGATGCCTGAGACAGTTACGAAAGTAAACATTCGAGATAAACATTCGACCTAAAACATATTTTTAAAAATCCATTCATGGCAGGAGGTTACAATGCATATACAAACTTAGATTCACTGGTCATTTTAGATAGTAAATAAAATGGCTATGTATGTTCTGTAGACATAGAAATCTAATTTGTAACAGTCTTCAAAACAATTCCATAAAATAGCTTTCTGTGAGGGAGCTTTTAGAGGCATTAAACTCTTCACATGTCTGGTTCCTATCACCACCACTGTGAACAATTGTGACTCTGAGTTAGTTTCTCTACAAGTAACCATTTCACATAGAACCAATCTGAATGACTCTGCTCACATCTCAACCACTGAATTATGCAGAAAAAAAATCAACGGAATTCCCCTTTACATCTCTTGCGGATCCGCAAGAGTCTTTGAAAGAGGTCAAACAATGCGTGGTGCAACACAGTGGTCAATATATGAAGAACATTTGGTCAGAGTCTATGTTTTACACAAAAACCTTTAACACACCATACAGTAACTTTTGCATTACAGTCAGTAGGATTTTGACATTTCTTTCACATTTCATGGACTTTATTTATTAATGAACAATCTATAGCACACATTAGGGCTGCACAAGTACTTGTATTGCAATGATGTTGTTAACTGCGTCTTCACATTGCAATGGCAATATGACTTGCATTATATTAAAAATGCAACGGTGATTCAATAATGTGACATGAATAAAGAGAAGCAAAACTAATTTATGTTGAATTTCATGAATAGCTTGATTCATCTGAACACCCAAAGAAACTCATCTGGAGCTGTGACTGGTCAGAAAGCTCATTTGCATATTGCAGCCGTCAGTTTGGCAAAGGCTAGCATTACGATAACAATTAACAAATACTGTGCAGCTCTAGTGGACAAGGTGCAAACTGTGTATGTTTCTTGAAAAAAACCTATTATCCAAAATAAGCCTGAACCTAACCGAATAATTACACTGACCACTCACAAGCTGTCTGCGCCCTAGAATCCAGTTGTGGCAGTGACGGCGTTGAGAGTGTGTGTGGCGACGGAGCGTAAGGCGAAGGTGGGCACAGAGAGATCTGTGAGGAGGTAGAGCTGATGCTGAGGCGTCTGCAGGCCATAACACTTGCACTCGTCCGTCACAAGGTAACACTGCACAGGCTGGTGGGTGAAACCTCCAGAAAATTCCTCATGGAGCGACTCATGGGCAGTTGTAGATGTAGACGAGTCCGGCGAGGTAGGTGCCTCTTCTGAGGTAAAATAGCGAGTCACTGCAAACGTGTAGAGGTGGCGCAACAACTCCCAGCGGCGAGCTGGAGAAAAAAGGGGTGGGGCCTCTGAGGAGGTGTGGCTGCGAGCACGTGGGCAGGCCACCACAGAGCGGCGCGTTTCACGATTGATGAGCAGCAGGGCTTGGACGTCCCAGCGGAGGCTGACGGAGGGAGGCAGGGGGGAGCGCTCGGCCTGCTCCAGGCAGCCACGGAGGGTTTCCACCACGGGGGACCAAAAACAGCCCACCAGCTCACTCTCCACACGATGCAGGGAGGGGCTGGGGCCGCACAGCACGCATACAACTGCACTGGGGAGCAGCTGGAAACAGAGCAGCCTGTGAGCCACCGTGGGGCTGCCTTGGGGCAGAAAGACTGGGTAGTCACAGGACGTGACCCCTGAGAGCAAATTTACAAGGACGGACAGGAGAACGACCTCTTGAGGAGCGAGGCGCCACCACTTTTCGGTAGCCAGTGCAACTCGTCCTTGGATAAGCAAGCAGCCAAATTCGCTGTTGGCAGCCTGGGTGAAGGAGTCCAGCGCCTGCTGCAGTATCGCAGGCTGAGAAGGCAGCAGGCAGTCAGCGCAATGTGTCAAATCACCCATAAAGCCCTGGTCCTCACCCCCGCGCTCCAGAAGCCTGTCAATTAAGCGGTAGCAAGAACGCAGCTCTCTTTTTAGCCGCTCCACGTTGCGCATGTTAGCCAGCTCGTCCTGGCCCAGCACCAGCACCATGCAGTTCCACGTATTCTCCAGCAGGCGGCGCAGATGCAGCTCGCTAACTGCATTGTTGCCGCTGCCACTCACAGCTATGAGCATGAGGCTGTCCTGAAAGACCCTCCAGACCACCCGGCTGCCTTGTTCCGTCTCGCAGCTGGACAGCAGGGCACCCTGCCCGGCCCCGAACATGTGGACCCCATTCAGGGAGCCGATGACAGAGAAGGGGAGCTGCTTAGAGGAGCCACGGGAAAAGAGGGGGACCCCGCTGGCTGCGGTAAGGCACAGGAGCTGGACGGTCTCGGCTTGAAGCATCCTGAGACTTAAGTGGGCGTGGGGATGGGGCTCCAAACATTGGTCAAGGATAGCGATGTACGTCACACTCTAAAAAACACAGAAAAGAATATCATGGATATAAATGCTTTATAAAAACATTAAAGAATGTGCTAGTGTGTTTCAGTTGAAACTCAAATTCAAAGCAGTGACATGCATACAGTTTCTTCACATAGGTTTCATTTGGTATAAACGAGCTGGAACATGTCAAAGCAAAAAACACAGGTTGTCTTGGCTATGTGAAATACAAAACTAGCTTTAAAGTATGGGTGCTCCATGTGGAAAAAAATAGAATGTCAAGATACTAAATAAATATTTATGATACATGATACGCATCACAAAATGTGGTAGTAGTGTCACCATCTAAAAACTGCTCTGAAAAACTAAGTGCATTGATTATCAGATTATAATCAAACATTTCACCTACTGTGCTGCACTAAAATCAATTAAACAAGACTCATTATGCTTTCTTTGTAATCAAAATGAAATTGGTCAGTGCTCTCCTTAAATGGTCTTGGCCCACTGGTGGGCCCAACGTTTTACTACACACTTCTATAACCTAAGAACAGCCCAACCAGTTTGCACTGGAGTCCCTGTATTACTGAACAATAAGCCTTAGTACTAAGAACTAAACTAACTCCATCTCCCTACCTTTTTTCTGAGTAAACGACTGCCCACCTGTCCGGCCGGACACTGATGGACGATTGTCTGTCAAGCTCTCCTGCTACCCGCTTCAGACCAGTTGCCCACGCCCCAGTCACCGCCACCTGCCTTGGACTAGCTGCCCACCCGACACTGAAGTGGACTCCTAACTATTATTACTACTACTACTATTAATATTAGTAGTATAATAATTTTGTAGGTAGTTTGACCAGAGGAGGATGGGTCCCCCCTTGTGAGCCTTGGTTCCTCCCAAGGTTTCTTCCCCAGCTCTGAGGGAGTTTTTCCTTGCCACTGTCGCCCCTGGCTTCCTCACCTGGAGGATTTACATTTCATGTTAAAACTTTGTCCTTAATGGATTTCTGTGAAGCTGCTTTGTGACAACATCAGTTGTAAAAAGCACTATACAAATAAATTTGACTTGACTTGACCTTAGTATGTAACAAGCCTGGGATTTTAAGGATTTAAGTAGGCCAACCTATGATATCCATGATATGCATATATCCTCAGAAATACATACTGAGGAAAATTATCACATATCAAAAAAATATTGTCACACTGCCCATCCCTACTTTAAAGTATAACCAGCTACACTGTATGTCCAAATGTTTGTAGGCACCTGCTCATATGGAAGCAGATCAGTAGCAAAATACAGCGTTTCTTCTGTATTCAGGGGTATTAAACATAAGCAGTCTGCGGTATTTATAGGGGGTTCGTCCTTCTTTGCTGCAGTAACAGCCTTTACTCTTCTGGGAAGGTTTTACACTAGATGCTGGAACATTGCTGTGAGGGTTTGATTGCAGAATAAACGCTAAGTAATAAGAGGTCTGGGACAATAACAATGTACAACCTAGCTAAAATATACAAGTAAATGAAAACTGCCCCTTAGCCGCTATATGTCCAAAAGTTTGTAGACACCTGCTCAGACGATGTTTCTTCTGAAATCAAGAGTATTAATAGGGAGTTTTCCCCTCCCTGCTGCGGTAACAGTCTCTACTCTCCTGGAATGGCTTACAGTAGACGTTGGAACATCGCTGTGAGGATCTGATAGCAGAATAAACGCTGTATAATGAGAGGTTTGGACAACCGTGAACCTAAAAACGACGTACTTACTAATATTACAGATATTACTGCTAAACAACAGGTTTAAAGGTCGGTAATCGGTGCCGTTAACTTACTGTAGTTACCTGTGTTTACAGCCGTGTCACCATAGCAACATACTGCCCATCTGCTCAACCGCCCAACAGAAGTCACACACGTAAGGTTATGTTTTTTGCTGTAACTCGATAGTAGAAGCATCAGCTCAGATTAACGTTACATTAGATTCAGGTTTGGCTGATTCTTGAACTGCTCAGAGTCGAAACTGAAAAGTTTAATGAAAAATCGATAGAAGAGAAGAGAGCATGATGTTAACCTTCTGACGCGCTGACGGGTTTCTAATGTCCCAGAAAAGCCAGCAAACACGCTAGATTAGGATTAGGATTCTGTTAAATTCTGTTTAATAAATGAATTTATTTATTACCGCTTTTCTACAGCTTATCCTCCCCCTGAGCGCCGTCCTGCCTGCTTGTTATTGCTCTAATGCCACCGCGTGCCTGTAAGGTGGGGGTTGATTGGCCGCGACCGCGTCTGTAGCCGATTCATCCAGCATCATGATTGGTTGGTTGGCAAACCACTATATTACAGGTTTGTACACAGTTTTGATGATAGAACTTGCACTTTAAGCATGAATTCACATTCATTCGAGCAATTTGCAAAACAAAAACCAACCTTTACTGAATTTATGTCATCTGTGTCTAATTTAGTGTCACGTTTTATGCTGCTGTGCGCTGGGGCAGCAGTATGAACACAAAATACACTAACAGACTCAACAAGTGGATGAAGAAGGCTGGCTCAGTCCAGACCGGACCCAGTGGAGAGGGTGGGTGAGAGGACAATGCTGGCCAAGCTCTCATTCATCATGAGCAAACCTCCCACTGCCTCTGTGCCGAAGCCAGCCCTCGCTCTCTGCTGCTCTCTATCAGACTCTATCAGTGTTTTCACATATAGTTCTTTTTAAATGAACCGAACTCAGTTCTGTTAAAGTGAACCTGAAAGGGAACCAGATGCAAATGACCTCAGTGCTTTTTGTGTTCACATTGTAAGTGAACTATAAAGAGGACTGAGTTCTCTTTCTGGTCCTCTTTAGCACTGATGAGATCTCAGACCACTTTCTGTTCACACTACAACTCATTGAGAACTCAGACCCCAGCTATGTAACACTGAATTATGGGTAGTCATGTTGCTGCAGTTTGGCTCTGCTACATTTTCATGAAGCAGGGGAAAAAAGAGAAGAAAAACAGAATTGATTTGAAACACCAAGACTGTTTCAAAACACTAAAGAGGAGACAAGCACGGAGGAGGCGAATTTTGCTGCAGAGATATCAAAATCAACTGATGCTTCTTGCCATAAATCTACTTCTGACTCTTCATCTGTCATCAGAAAGGTTGGTGTAGACAAAATACATGCATACACTACATACAGTATATTACAATAGAAATATTCAATAACTATTGTTCCTGTCACATATCATTAGTTACTGTGCAGTAGCTGAACTACTTAATAAAATTCAATAGCATGATGACTAGTGCTACAATAGCTCTTTTAGCCTACTATTAGCCTGTACTACTTAGTACTACTTACTGTTTGTACTTGCATCAACTACCACTAAGACATCTCTGTAATGCATGTGTAAGCTATCATATGTATATATACACATATATGTATGTTTCATGAATTTACAGGTCTTGGACAAAGAACAGGTCTCGTGTCTGGTGGGAAAGCACAGCAAGTTGGACAGATACTGAGTGGCTGCACAATGTAAGGATGCGAAAAGACACATTCATGTATCTCTGCAATCACCTGAGACCTCACCTGGAGAGACAAAGAACACACTACAGAGTTCCTCTTACAGTGGAGCAAAGAGTTGCAGTGACCTTATGGAGGCTCTCTACAAATACTGAGTACCGATCCATTTCGCACCTCTTTGGCATAGGCATATCAACAGCATGCACTGTAACTCAAGAGTTAGTCTCTGCCATTGTCCACATCCTGAAGCCACTGCTAATCAAGGTCCCACAAGGAAACCACCTGAGAAATATAATCAATGGTTTCAGGGATAAATGGGGCTTCCCTCAGTGTGCTGGGGCTATTGATGGTACACATGTGCCTATCATAGCCCCACATAATAATAAGGCAGATTATTACAATAGGAAAGGCTACTACTCCATACTGCTGCAGGGTGTCATGGACCACAAGCTAATGTTTTGGGATATCAATGTAGGTTGGCCTGGAAAGGTGCATGATGCAAGAGTGTTTGGCAATTCCTCCATCTTCCGGAAAGGTCAGTCTGGAAAACTTTTTCCACCATGGAGTGAGGAATTTCAAGGTGTTTCTGTTCCAGTATCTATTGTAGCAGATGTAGCATACCCACTCCTACCATGGCTACAGAAACCATATCCTGGAGGTCACAGAATTACACATGATCAGCGCATGTATAACTACAGACTGAGCAGAGCAAGAATGTGTGTAGAGAGAGCTTTTGGCAGACTAAAAGCCAGATGGCGTTGCCTTTTAAAGAGAAATGATCACAGCATAAACGTGATCAATAAAGTGGTTGCTGCTTGTTGTACATTGCATAATTTGTGTGAGAGCAGAGGGGAAGAGCTAGAGCCTGAGCTTTTGGAAAATGTGGATGATGATGATGAAGTGATGGATATGGAAGAAGGAGAAGAGCCAGTCCTTGATAATTCAACAGGTCAAGATATTCGCAGGGCTTTAACACATTACTTCAGTCAAATTTAAAATGTGAAAACATGGCTTGATTTGGAATTTTGTTTGTTTTCTGTCAGTATGCAAATTATTATTGATTTCTCATACAGGACAGTGAGATTTAAATTAAAAACAGCTATTCCACTTGATTCTGTATGAATTTTTTTTAAAGACAAAGTAAACATTTATGATGTCTTATTACTGTAAATAAACAAGTGTCTTTCAAACAACAAAGAAAATCTGTATTTTCAACAGCACATTTGAAAATGACATCTACAATAAAAATGTACATGTAATAAAATAAAATGTTTTCTCTCAAAAGTACAACGTGCTTGATACATTTTAATGTGATACTTCTTAAGGGCACAGGTGGATAAAAAATTGTGCAACTTCCACATCTAAAACATCTTTAGGACCAGATTTTAAATGTTGCTTTCAAGCAAGTTATACAAGAAGTTGAAAAACATATCAATGCTCCTGAACACAAATAAACACAGTATTGTTAAAACTACTGCATATGAAAGAGTTACCACTCTCCTACATTCTACCGCCAGAACACAAACAATAATACAAACTAACAGGTCTTTACACAAATGCAAAGAACACTGATCAAAAATAACCTAGGCATATGAGGTGTTCTGGAGCATTAGGCCAGAACAGACCCAAACCTCAAAAAGCCCTCAAACCTGCTGTCAGTGAGACATTTAGCTGTTGAACCTGTTTATCTCATGTAAAACTGATGACAGTAGTGGTTCACTGGTGCCATGAGTGGAGGCTTTCTGATTATTTGTTGAAGGCATAGGAGATGACTGGTGAGCTGGGGTGAGTAAGTGAAAGGTGGGGATCTCCTCTGTGGTGCAGGTGGGAGTAGGAAAATGTGCGGGAATAGGTGAAGTGTGGGAAATTGCTGCACCCATCACTTGAGCAACCATTCGCAACCATGGCTTGGTCACTTTCCATTTGGGCCTGTCGGCGTCGCTCCTCCATCTCCATTTGAAACCTATAAGGCGTTCTCGCTCCAATTCCATTTCTCTACGGTGTCGCTCATCTTCTTTAGTGACAAACAGCTAAAAATCGCGCCTTTGTTGCTCAATTATTGAGCTTATCATGGAGGCCACTTCTGTGATGGTGCTCTTAGCATTAGGATGTTTAGGTTTTGATGATGGCCGCTTTACAACTGGTGGTGGATCTGTAGAGCCTGAAGTGTCGGCTGAAGCATCACTTTCATCAGGACTACTGTTGCCTTCAGCAACACTGCTGCCATCTTTTTCTATACAAAACAAAATAAAAAAGGATTATTCTATTATACATTAATCTGATGCTAAACTTGGAAAAAAAAACAGAGAGAGAGAAAGAATTGTAACCTTACCTTGTTCTTCATCGCTCGTTAGATCAACGCTTCCCCCTTCAACGACCTCTGTGGGGTTAGCACAGGCACTTGTCCCCAAAATTTCATCTAGTTCTTCAAAAAAAAGGACACGTCTCCTTAATTTCAGCGGACTCTCCGCTTGCTCTGATTTTGTCACGTGTATTCATGTACTTTTGTCTCATTTTCTTTACTTTCACGCGGCACTGCAGCGCCGTCTTGTTGTATCCTCTTTTTTTCATGCTTTCTGAAAACAACAGAAAAACCTTCATATTTTTATGCGTTGCGGAGAGCTGACGTTTGATGTAGTCCTCTTTCCAGATATGCAGAAGTGCCGTGGTCTCCGAGACCACACAATTCCTCGAGCAGCCGTTTTCTCAAGTTTTTCATTTGTGAGAATTGAAACTGGTTACGGCAAGCCTCGAGGTTCTGTACATGAAACAAAACGCGAAGCGGACCCGGGCCACTTTGTTTTCACAATGCACATTTTAAGCGGACCATGAAACGAACCACAAACGAACCGAACTGAGACCCCCTCCCGAGAGGGGCCGTTTAGAGGGGTCTGAGTCCGTTTGCCGTGTTCACATATGCAGAAGAAACCATGACTCAGCGGTCTGAGTCCACTTCAGACGCTGAAACGGCCCAAGTGTGAAAACGCCCTAAAACACCTCAGCTGGCACGTGACCGACCTTCAACGTTGAAATGTGGTTGAAATAATGTCAGTTGTTGTTTCAACGTTGAAAAAACGTTAATATTAAATGGTTGCGGAAAGGTTAACAAAATACTAATAAATCAACGTTGGAATTCCAACTTTACATCAACTTAATGTCTTAAACATCCTGCTTTATAAATATGATTATTATTATTATTTCATTAGATTTACCTTTTGATCATAAGACCACTTCAAAAATCTAAATTTATATATTAAAAATAGCAAACAACAGCAACAAGAATAGTAACTGGCAAATTAAGTTTGCGAAAAAAACCTTGCTTGCCGCCCATTGAAACAGCATGAATACAATGTTAACTGACAATCAGCACCCGTAATGAGGCGGGCTGAGTACACCCGTTTTGAGGCGGCCGAAGCGGGAGCAGCGTTTAGAGCGGCTTCTGGACACTTCGGAGGCTTCGAGACGCGTTTGGTGCGCAAGACTCGGTTTATTTGACGTACCAACAGTTTTAATCAGACATTTACTTAGACTTAATCCTATAATCTGATAACGTTGAACTC